GTAAGTGCTGGAAATATTGCCGGGGACACTTTGTAAAATTTATGATTGTCTAAATTTAGTTTCAGGTACACAGTACTGTACACCTGAAACTAACTCAAAATAATATTGAATGTAAACTATAATTGAAAAATATTTTAATTTAAAAATTAAAAATAATTTGTCTAATCTATGGAGAAAAATAGTAACAACGGCAATAAAATAATTCCTTATATTTGTGATTCCTTGGTGGGGGTTGTTGTTTTTTAATAATCGCCCAAGGATATTTTTTCATTGATTTTAGAGAGTGGAAGAGAGAGGGAAAGACAGAAATATCGATGTGAGATATACACATCAATTGGTTGCCTCCTGCACGTGCCTCGACCAGGGCCTTGGCTGGGGAGGAGCCTGCAACTGAGGTATGTGCCCTTGACCACATTTGAACCAGAGACCCTTCGGTCCACAAGCTGATGCTCTATACACTGAGCCAAACTAACTCGGGCTCCTTGGTTTTATTTATAATACTTTTTTAGCAGAACTTTTAAAAAATATATATTTTTATTGATTTCAGAGAGGAAGGGAGAGGGAGAGAGATAGAAACACCAATGATGAGAGGGAATCATTGATCGGCTGCCTCCTACACGCCCCTTACTAGGGATCGAGACCCCAACCCAGACATGTGCCCTTGGCTGGAATCAAACCTGGGACCCTTCAGTCCACAGGCCGACGCTCTATCCACTGAGCCAAACCAGCGAGGGCTAACAGAACTTTTTAGTCAAATGAAAACAAGTGGGACCTCAATACAAAACTAACTCAAATTAGTGTTGTTCTGGCTGTGGGAGAAACTCATTAAGGCTCTTCTGAACCAGTGGTCTCCTGACCTTCCCCCTTCACCCTACCATATCCCGCACTGGAGCTCAGAGGAGCTGGAAAACCAACAGGTGATCTATCTCTAAGGTTCCTTAAAATTAAATCGAGCAAAAGCCAGCATTCCAGGAAAAGGGAGTTTAGGAGATCACACCAGATGCTTGCTGGACCCCGGACAGAACCTGGAAAGGTTCTAAAACTAAATCCCTGATGTGGACATGCTTCTGTTCATCAAAAGTTCCAGTTAAAATCCCACTGATGAAACAATAGGGACAGAAAACAGATCAGTGTTTGCCAGGGCTGGGGTGAAGGGAGACAGTAACACAAAAGGATACAAGGGAACTTTCTGGATTGATGGAAGTGTTCTAGACCCTGATTGTGGCTGTGGTTACAGGACTGTATATGTTTGTCAAAGTTCACAAGTAAAAGTGGGTGAAGTTAACTGTATGTAAATTAAACCTCAATAACCCTGTTTTTTAGTTACATTGCTGGAAGACACCTCAGTTATTTTATAGATGAGAAAACAGTCTTTGAGAGGAAAGATGACTTGTTCCTGATGAGTCAGTAGAGCCCAGATAGCCTGACTTCAGAGACTGTCCCTCACCCACTCAGCTTTATTATTTTTTAAAACATATTTTATTGACTTTTTACAGAGAGGAAAAGAGAGGGAGAGAGAGTTAGAAACATCAATGAGAAAGAAACACCAATGAGCTGCCTCCTGCACACCCCCTACTGGATATGCCCACAACCAAGGTACATGCCCTTGACCAGAATCAAACCTGGGCCCTTGAGTCCGCAGGCCGACCCTCTGTCCCCTGAACCAAATCGGTTAGGTCCACCCACTCAGCTTTAATTCAGAGCCCTCTCCGTGCACCAGGCTTCAGATGTCTCTGACTGCAAAATGAGGAGGTAAAAACCGCCAAAGGCTTTCCCACTTCTAAGGAGGAGGAGAAAGATCTCAATGCTTTGGAATCAGAAAAACTGAAAGAAAAATTCCAACTTCTATCACTCACTAGCAGTGCGCTCTGGTGCAAGTGTGTCCTGTGTGACAGGGGGTTAATAGTGAGAGCACCTCTGTAAAACAGCTGGCAAACAAACTCTCAAGAAGGGCGATGATTCTACACTGCTGTCCTATTCCGCGTCCCACCTGGCTGCTTCCTAAGAAAACTCTGGAGGTGACCCTAAGAAAAAGAACGAACGAACTGCCGGCTCTGCATTGCATAACCTGTGCTCTGGTACACAGGACAGCCGGCTCCAAAGGGGCACAGGCTGTTATCTCGCCGGGTAAACAGGAACACCCTGCCCCCTCCTTGACCACCTTCAGCACGGGCCACCACAAACAGTGCAGTCGGAGCGGGCTTACAGCTTGCGAGCGCATCACTGCTGATCAAGCCTGTATTTTTTTTTTAAATATATTTTATTGATTTTTTTACAGAGAGGAAGGGAGAGGGATAGAGAGTTAGAAACATCGATGAGAAAGAGACATTGATCAGCTGCCTCCTGCACACCCTCTACTGGGGATGTGCCCTCAACCAAGGTACATGCCCCTGACCGGAATCAAACCTGAGGCCCTTCAGTCAGCAGGCCGATGCTCTATCCACTGAGCCAGACCGGTTTTGGCCAAGCCTGTATTTTAATACTCCGCTTTCCCTGTGGCTTCTGGTCACAGGGCACAAACTTGCCCATGGATATATTCCACCTATCCCACAGCCCTTTGCTGGCCACCTGCTCTAAAAGGGGTGGTCCCGAATAATGACTCAATGCTGCCTGCCACACCTTGCTTTTTTCCCCCTTCTGTTCCAAGGAGACCAAACCACACAGAAACCCAAAAGACTATTTAAAACAAAATAAAACAAACAAAAAACCCTCAGCCTGACGGGTGTGGCTCAGTGGTTGAGCATCAACCTATTAAACCAGGAGGTCACGATTCCCTGTCAGGGCACATGCCTGGGTTGCAGGCTCAGTCACCAGTAGGGGGCGAGTGGGAGGCAGCAGACTTCAACATTGATGTTTCTCTCTCTCTCCCTCCCTTTCCTCTTTAAAATCAATAAAAATATTTTTTAAATATATATTTAGAAATAAACAAGAAATCTTCAGGCCTGGCTGGTATAGCTCCAGTGGTTGGAGCCTCGGTCCTGCACCTCATAAGGTCGCCAGTTCAATTCTCAGTCAGGGCACATACTTAGGTTGTGGGTTCAATCCCAGGTCTGGGCACTTACACACTTACAGGAGACAAATCAATGTTTCTCTCTCATATCGATGTTTCTCTCTCTCTCTCTCTTTCTCTCTCCCTTTCCCTCTTTCTAAAAATCAGTGAACAAGCCGAAGCCGGTTTGGTTCAGTGGTAGAGTGTCAGTCTGCAGACTGAAAGGTCCCAGGTTCGATTCCAGCCAAGGGCATGTACATTGGTTGCGGGCACATCCCCGGTAGGGGGTGCGCAAGAGGCAGCTGGTCGATGTTTCTCTCTCATTGACGTTTCTAGCTCTCTATCTCTCTCCCTTCCTCTCTCTTAAAAATCAATAAAATATATATTTTTTTAAATAAAAAAATAAAAATCAGTGAACATGTCCTCAGGTGAGGAAAAAAACCTTCAGGCAGGTAGTTTCTGCTTCCACTGTCTCATCTACTCTAGATGCACCAGGGTCATGTAAAAACTATTGGCTTACTTTTTGTCCTTGAAGGAGCAGGAGGGAGGCAACACTGAGAAATTATCCAACTTTTGCAGGAACAAAGAGCTAAGTATCTGGGCCAACGGCAACCATGAGCAAGCTACAGCTGACCAAGGTGGCATAGCCCCTACAGCATCAGGACTCAACAACTCCAATACCCTGGCTCAACTTCTCAAAAACACTTGCCCTGTACCGCCCCTGCCCAGTGCTCTTAAGAGTTGTCCTGGAGCCCAGCAGGCTCCAGTGGTTGAACGCTGACCAGGAGGTCATGGTTCAATTCCCTGTCAGGGCACATGCCTGGGTTGTGGGCTCCATCCCCAGTGTGGGGCATGCAACCGATCAAAGATTCTCTCTCATCATTGATGTTTCTATCTCTCCCTCCCTCTCCTTCCCTCTCTGAAATCAATATGAATATATATATTTTTAAATGAATCAACCAATGAATGCAAAAGTTCAGTGGAACAACGAATCAATGTTTCTCTGTCTCTTTTCCCCTCTCCCTCTAAAATTAATAAAATAAAAGATAATCACAAGTTAAAGGGAAAAAAATAAAAATAAAAAGTTGTCCTGGAGATCATGTGAACTCAAAACCGTGAAAGAAGGAAAAGGATTTCTGTCCAACGAAGCTAAGTAAAGTTCCTGAGCAAGAAAGAACAATGCTTTGTCCTGGTCTCCGACTCTGTTAAGAGAGGGCTGACACCAGGTTAAGAAATTCTGATTCATAATCACAAATATTATTTATCAAACAACTGCCAGGACACTGTGGCAACTACATCCTGCTGTTTCTATTCCGAGTCGTTGCCAAAGGCTGGTCCTCTGCCCTACCTTCCGGTGTCTGCGAAATTTTCGGTTTCTATAAAACCCCGGCGGGGGAGGGGGCCGCGCTGGCCTCGGACGGGTAAAGTTCCACCAGCGAGTCCACAAAGAGCCTCGAGGGGCGTGGCCAGGCCGGAAACTCTGACCAAAAGTTTGGGCCCTCCGGCCCCACCAGCAACTGCTTCCTGCTCCCTGCCCGCCGCGCCGGGTCCACCCCCACCCCAGGCCGCGCTCGGGCTCCCACCCGCGGGGACGGGTCAGGCCGGCCCGGCGACCATCAGCCCCCGGATCCGAGGCGCTCAGCTGCCTCCCAATCACTTCGGAGCAAAGTCGAGGGTGTGAGTTCTCGAGGGCAGTCTCCTCCCCACGATCCCCCAGACACCCCCAGACTCACACCCACCCCCCCAAGGCAGGCGCTGTGTGGACCGTACCTGGCTTGGACTCCAAGGCCCAGGCCTGCCCCAACAGGAGGGGGGAAAGGAAAAGCGAAAGGGGTTTGCCAGGCACCTCAGAACTGTCCCGGATGCCAGGGGCTGCGGGGACAGAACGCTCCCCGCCCCCGCCGAGGGGCACCCTCCAGGGACACGGGCCCACCCGGTGCACGTCGGAGCCCGGGCTGCGCGGTGGCCGCGGAGGGCCCCCGGCGTGGGGACCCCAGGCCGGGCCTCCCACCTTGACCCGCTTGCCCTGGATCTCCAACGTCTTCATGGTGAAGTCCACGCCGATGGTGCTGCTCTGGCGCTCCGAGAAGGCGCCGGTCTTGAAGCGCTGCACCACGCACGTCTTGCCCACGCTCGCGTCGCCCACCAGCACCAGTTTGAACAGGAAATCGTACTGCTCGTCTGGGTCCCCCGGGCCCGGCCCTGCCATGGCTTCGCGGGAGCCGAGGGCCGGCGCTCCGGACGCTGGGGGCGGCCTGGGTTCACGGAAGCCACAGGCGCCGGGAGACGTGGAGCCACCCCAACACCTGAAGCTGGGGCGCCGCCGTTCACCGGCCCCGGTCCGCCCGGGCCGGCCCTCCGCCCCGCCCCGGCCAGCCCGAAGCCCGCCGGCCCGGCTCCGCCCCAACTCTCCTAATCCGGAATCTGCGGAGCGCGCCGCTGGCCCACGGTTGCGCGCCAGGCCAGTCCGGCCCTCAGGTCCGCCCTCAGGGCCGCCCACAGCTCCTCCTCCACCAGGCCCCGCCCATAGGTTCTGCCGGTTCCGCCCACAGCTCCGCCCCTACCAGGCCCCGCCCACAGCTCCTCCCCTGCTAGGCTCCGCCCACAGCTTCTGCTGGCACCACCCTGAGCTCCTTCCCTGTCAGGCTCCGCCCTCAGCACCGCCCACAGCTCCTCCGCAGCAAGACTCCGCCCATATCCCGACTCCGCCCTCAACACCTAGGTCAGCATCACCCATACTTTTTAAAAATTTCTTTATTGATTAAGGTATCACATATTTCTCCTCAACCAGCATCACCCATATTTCTAGTCGCCCTCGGCACCGCCCCAGCACTCGCCACGCCCCCTCTGCCTATTTATTCCGCGCTCCGCACTGCCCTAAACCACTGCCCATCTCAGACCCTTCCTTAAGCTAAGCTACTTTACAGCCCAGATCCCAGTTGCTGTCCAGTGCCTCCCGTCCTTCCTCCCTGTTCTCCAGGCCTGGCCAGCCTGCCTGGGGTGACCTACCTGCTGCTCTTCCACAGTCAAAAGCAGACTCATGGGAATGGTGGGGTCTCTGGGCCTGCAGGCCTGGGGGCCTGTTGACCCAGCATTTGGACCCAGAATGTGTTTCTCTCGAGTGTTCACTGGGGGAGTGGACAACCACAGCAGTGTCATCTTAGTGTTCACACTAACAGGGCAAACGATGCAGAATCCCTCTAACAGAAGATGGGATGGATGGAAGAATTTTCCCACACTGAAGAAGGAAAAGGCCTGGCAGCACACTAAAGATGATAAAGGAGAGGTCTAAGAAATTAAGCTGGCTACAACACTGGGAAGGAGGCCAGAATCCTGTGGAGAGGCACCTGAAAGCTGTAGCTCAAGTTGACCTCCCAGGACTCTGGGGAGAGGAGAATTAGGGAGCCTCATTTGGTGGACAGCTAAGCCAGAAAGAGTTGGGAGATCACAACCCCAAAAGAAAGCCTAGTGGTTGAAACAGCTGCTCAAATGTCTCAGAATAGGCTGACTCAGTTGGTGTTATGGGTCCAGTTGGGGGAACTAACCCAGCTGGAAAGCACTGAAGATTGGTCGGAGCAGGGGAATAAGGGAGGTTTGTGGGCAGTTCTGTTAGGCAGACGAGCTCCCAAGATGGCCCAGTGAACCAGGGATCCTTAGAGAAATTATATTCAAACCTCTGTAAAAAGCGAAAAATAGATAAAATAGAACCTATTTTTCAAAGCACTTTCCAGCTATCAAGATGAAAGGGAATTGAGAACATTCCTGCACTCTTCGTACAGTTCTCTTACAAGGGGGCTCTAGCACTCCAATTCCATTTAATTCAATAAGTTTGATTAATGCCTACTATGGATCAGGAATTGTTCTAGGGTCTTGAATACATCAGTGAACAAAGCAGACAAAAATCCATAGTCTCCTCCTCGTAGCTTCAGGAGACAACAGAGAACAAGTCCCCCAGGACTAGTATACCCCCTGAGGACCCTTCACCAGCTTTACTGGCCAAGTGGGGAAGAGACTGGATGAGGAGGCAAAGGTAGATCCATGGTGAAGGTGGAAGAGTTATTTGTTCTGGAAGAATCTGAATTCTGTAACCATGGGAAATAACCAACAGACTAGACAGGCAACCCTAAAGTGCCATGGAAAAGCAATGCTGGGAACACAGCTTTGATATATCAGACAGCCACAGACAGTGGGAGAAGCAGTGAACAGCCTCCACTCAAAAGGAGTAGCAGTCTACGGCCATACCACCCTGAACGCGCCCGATCTCATCAAAAGGAGTAGCAGTCTAACCAGTGTTGCTCAGTGGTTAAGCTTCATCCTATAAACCAGGAGGTCACAGTTTGATTCATAGAACATATGCCCCGGTCATTCATAAAAACCCCTCTGGCCCAGTCAGTATGGCTCAATGGTTGAGCGTTGACCTATGAACTAGGAGGTTATGGTTCGGCTCCTGGTCAGGGCACATGCCCAGGTTGCAGGCTCGATCCTCAGTGTGGGGCATGAAGGAGGCAGCTGATCAAAGATTCTATTTCTCTCTCCCTTTCTCTCTGAAATCAATTTTAAAAAAAATTTTTTTAAGAGTAGTAGCCATGGCCAATGTAGCTCAATTCGTTGGGTATCCTCCCGTGTAATGAAAGGTTGCTGGTTCTATTCCCAGTCAGGGTTTCCAGCTTCATCCCCAGTAAGAGGCATGCAGAAGGCAGCTAATGGATGGTATGCTCTCACGTCAATGTTTCTCTCTCTCTGAAAATCAATGTAAAAATCTTTTTTTTTTTTAGTAGCAGATGAAATGGAATGTCTCTGGGATGGTAGGGCATGTCAAAACTCAGAATCCCAGAAAAACATCTGCCTCCAGATCAGAGTGCCTACCAAAAGCACAGAGTGGAGAAGGGAAAGGGAAAGATGAGTCTAGGAGTCAGTATAAGACAAGACTGTCACCAATTAGAGGCATGAGAGGAGGAAGAGGAGGAATATTGAGCATGTGGGATGGGATGGGATGGGATGGGATGGGCAAGGGGCCAGATAGCCCAGTTGGTTTTTATATTGGCTTTGCCTGGAATTAGTTTGGGATGGGGTGGTGCATGTTGGTGTTGGCATAAATTTTGCCAGAGAGCCCAACTACCACTTGCTTTTGTAGGATGATGGAAATGTTCTAAAACTGGACTGAGTATTGTAAAACTCATACAATATTGAGTAAGTATTGTATGAGTTATTGTATAACTCATAAGATTTATCAACATCTTTCAAATGTACATTTATAGTAGGTGAATTTTATGGTATGCAAATTATCTATCTATAAAAGCCTAAGTGATCACTTGACTATTCAACTGGTAGCTATGAGGTGCACTGACGACCAGGGGGCAGATGCTCAATGCACAGGCATGAAACATGGAACAGACTGAGGAGATCCTGGGCTGGGAGAAACTCTGTGGATGGAAGGACTGGAGCAAGGCCTCCGGACCTGTCTGTCCCGGGAGGCAAACGGCTGCTGAGTTCCGCTGACTGAGGGAGGGAGGCCCAGAGGCCTGGGAATCCCAGGTGGGCCACACTCCAAGCACTTGCCAACCACCTTTTCCAGGGAGAAGAAACACCATGGTCTGCATTTCCTGCTTCAGTGAATACAAGGCAGCCCAAGCCCAATGTGCCCCTGGAAAGAAAAATCCACGTCTGATCAGGCACTGCACACCCATCACTGAGGCTCTGATGTGGGCCAAGTCCTTCCTTTTCTCTGCCCAGAGCAGGGACTACCCAGACCCCGGGTCAAACTCACGGTCCAGTCCTGGACTTTAAGGCAGGGAGACCGAGGCCAGGGACCCAGAGGGGCTTGTTCAAAACTCCCACTGAATGTGCACCTGAATCAGCCCGAGCTTGGTGCTGGGTCCCAGAGCTGAATCTGACCCTTGCTCTGCCCCCAAGGCCTCCACTCCCAGAGCTCCTACCTCAGCCCCTCCCTGCACCCTGTACACATTTGCCCAGCGGCTTGGGCGGGGGTTGAGGTACACCAGCACTTCTTTCAGAGAAGCCAAGACTCACCTGAAGAACCAATCTCCTGGCCCTGACCCTGACTCTCAGACACGCCCAGGACCCCTCTATGCAAGGGGAGGCCCCCGACACTGCCCTAGAGGCTGCAGCCTCTGCTGTCAGTTCTCATTGGAAAGAAAAACCCCAGCTCAGGTGGCAGATTTAGATCCAACTGGTGCTTCCTGGGCATCCCCGCGTTTCACCCAGGCCACTTAGGGGGCACAGGAAGGTTGGCTCTGCCCACTGACCTCAGCTTAATGCAACCATCACATTGCTACAGGGAGACCAGGGAACAACAAGCTGCAGACATGGAGGTTTCCCCTTCATATAAAAACCTTTAATAAAAATAGCTCTCAAGTGGCCTAATATATGGTGATGGAAGACTGACTTTGGTTTGTGGGTACGCAGTGCAACACAGAGATCTTGTATCATAGGCATCCATATCTGAAACCTATATGATTCTATTAACCAATGCCACCCCAATAAATTTAATTTAAAAAAATAAATTTTAATTTAAAAAAATAGCTCTCTACAGAACCAGTCATAAAACAGAAATAGCAAATTCAATTTCCTGCCACCTGGGCAGGAAGAAATGAGGCAAGCTGAGCAGGCCACAGAAAACTATGCCAGGCCCAAAAGGTACAGCTCTGGCTGGATACTGACACATGGGATGTGGGCTCACGATTAACACATTTAATTTTTCAAGAGGAGTTACAAATAATGTCTTGTTAGGAAAAACTTCATTTTTTAAGTGCTGGCCACTAATTAATCACCCTCCCCGCCAAATGGCAGTTAAAGGTTAAATAAAACACAGGCAGCCAGTCAGCAGCCTGTTTTACACATTCAATATAAAAATAAGTGGGTTCACACAGTAGAAAAACATTTGTATAAAGGTGACAGCTAAACTGATAGGCAGCCTGAAAGGGAGGGATAGGACAGGCTCCTCCCCCGAGACCAATAGTTGAGGTAAGAAAAGGTAAAGAATGAACGGTAAGAAGTAGCAGGAAGCCTTGCCGCACTAGCCTGCCAGTCCGCAGTCCCAGGACAGCAGAGCCCTGTAGGTTACTGCAAGGGCCAGCTGGGGCTGAAGAGCTCCCAACAGGTTTCCAGACCCCACGGAGCACCCTCACTCAGCCCTAATATCCCATGAGTCTTTTGGCCTCTTCGCTCTGGGCCTGCAGGGTCTCACTTGCATACTTCTGGAGGAGTTCCATCTTCTTCCTTCGCACAAGTGCCTCCTCGATCTGTGAAGAAGAAGAGTAAAAGAGTCATGCAACACTCTTCAGTGAGGACCTCTGGGTCCTGCCGGAACCCAGCCAGGAGGGAGTCCCTGTAAAGGAGGCCACTGAGGAGCTCAATACCCAGAGTGTCTTGAAGGTCCCTTTCTTTCCCACTGGAAGCACGTGAACAATAGAATGTTTATCAGTTTCCTCTAAAGCAGATGAAATCCTGCCTTCTCTAGATCCCACCCGTTATTATTATATAAGCACAGTGAGCAGTGTCATGTGGCCAGGAGTCAGAGCTGCTCATATGGACAGAGGGGAAAAGATCCCCGTGAACACTCAATGGAGTCTCCTTTAGAGGCAAGGCCTCTGGCACTTGGGAAACTGCACCTCCAACGCGGCTCACCCTACCTCTTGCTGTGATGGCACAGGGACATGGGCGATGAACTTCTGCTGCTCGTCTTCACCTCCTTTCTCCTGGCTGCCTTCCTCATCAGACTACAAACAGAACAACCAAGAGTCTGTGAGTAGGAGACCATGATACAAATATTGGCAGTGCTATAAAATGCACTACTCTGCAGCTGTTTAAAGGAGAAGAAGGGGTTAGGAAGTTCTGTACTCATACAGAAACACAGCCAAGACATCATCTATTTATATATATAAAACCCTAAACAACCGGTCCACCTGTCGCTATGACACACACTGATAACCAGGGGGCAGACGCTCAATGCAGGAGCTGCTCCCTGGTGGTCAGTGGGCTCCCATAGCAGGAGCGCCACTCAGCTGACTGAGAGGCACCAGACACTGGGCTCAGAGCAGCAGTGCTAAGGAGTGGCTGCAGCAGGCACAGCAGAGCTGGGATGGGCGGGAACGGCGCTGCGCCAGAGAGCCCAGGCTTGGGCTCCTCCCCAGCCACCTGCTGCTTCATTCACTACTATATCCCTCAGGGGATGTCAGACTGCCAGTTTCAGGTGGAAACCAGTAGTCTGACACCCCCCCACAGGGGTCCCTGATTGTGAGAGGGCACAGGCCAGGCTGAGGGACCCCACCAATGCACGAATCCACAAAACACTGTGTATATGCTAACTTTTGCTTTGGGAAAGAAAATAAGGATAGAAACTAGTGACAGCAGCAAGAACTAGGTAGAATTGCAAAAGACAATCTTTGCTGACTATCTTTATATGCGTTTTGTTCTTGACTTTTATAAATTCATTACCTATTTTTTAAAAATTAAATTTAAAGTCCGGACAATTATAGAGTAGGTAAATGCTGTATTGTCCTCCTCCCACCACCACATCAAAATTACAACTAAATTATAGACTGTCATGAGAACCACCTGGAGACCAACTGAACTAGAAGTCCTATAACTAAGCTATATAGAAGTTGTCATGTCAAGACAGGTAGGAGAGCTCTAACTAGTTTGGCTCAGTGGACAGAGTGTCAGCTGGAAACTCAAGGGTCCCAGGTTCGATTCTGGTCAAGGGCATATGCCTAGACTGTGAGCTCAGTCCAACGTGCAGGAGGAAACCAATTAATGATTCCCTCTCATCATTGATGCTTCTCTCTTTCTCTCTTCCTCTCTAAAATCAATAAAAATATATTTTAAAAAAACTAAAAAAAAAACTAGACGCTCACTTAAAAATATTTTTAAAAAGAAAAGAAAGACATGTAGGAGGAATAGAGACGCTGAACCAGCAGGTCTCATACCCAGTGTGGCAATTAAGAATCAAGAGAGCCCTAGCTGGTTTGGCTCAGTGGATAGAGCATCGGCCTGCTGACTGAAAGGTCCCCCAGTCAAGGGCACGTGCCTGAATTGTGGACTCAATCCCCAGTAGAGGGCGTGCAGGAGGCAGCCGATCAATAACTCTCTCATCATTGATGTTTCTATCTTTCCCTCTCACTTCCTCTCTGAAATCAATAAAAATATATATATATATTTTAAAAAGAATCAAGAGTGATAGCTCCACTGAGGATGTCCCCAGTGAGGAACAAAGGGCCCCATCCCCATACCAGGCTTCCCAACTCAGAGCACCAGTGCCAGGAAGAGGAATCCCCCTAACATTTGGCTGTGAAACAAGCAGAGAATGCATTCAAGTGAGACGGAGTAATGCTGGAGACCGAGGTACACCTCTTGAGGGGCCGGGAAATGGACTTACTCACAAACTCACTCACTCTGGGCTCCAGCACTGTGAGAGATACATATGGGGAAGAACTAAACTGACAAGCTTAAGGACAAGCACTGGAGGGGCAGGAGTCGGGGCAGTTCTCTCTAGGACAGAAATGTTGGCAGGCAGCATTGTTTCTTTGTTGAGCCTTCCTCCCATCCAGCCTGGCTAACATGGTTCTCCCCACCCTGGTGATTCCCTGAGATCCCGCCCCACTCAACTCAATCACCCGGCCTGAGCCTCTTCTAGCAGCTGTTCCACATAAACACTTTCTTAAAATCACTGAACGATGAATAAACCCCAAACAAGCAGTGGCTGCCTCAGCATGCCTTGTATCCCTTGGTAAGTAGCCCCAGACTGAGTATATGCAGCAACTGGTCTTGACAACTTGCACCATAGCTCCCATCAGGAGACCCCAAGGCTAGCAGAAGTGGCGGCCAGTCACAGCTTGAAATGTAGCTTCAAATAAGTAGCCATAAGCCTAGCACAACTGGCAGCTGGCCTCAGCTCGTATCACAGTGTCCAGCAAAGGGTCCAAAGCCCAACATTAGGGGCAGTCGGCCTCGGTTCGCAGCACACCTCTCCCAATGCCTTCAAGCAGCCACAACTGCAGATCACTTTGTAGCTCCTACTAGGAGACCCCAAGCAAAGCAGAAAGCAGTGGCTAAACTTGACCTGCACCAACACCCTTCCCAAAAGGTCCAGGCTTCACAACTCAGAGCAGAAGGTAAGTGAGCGCCAGGGGGATCCTCACTGCCCACCAGTACCTCTTCCTCAGTGACAGCATAGATGTTGATTTCTTCCTCCTCTTCCTCCTCCTCTTCCTTTTCTCCTCTTGCCAGCCGAGCCTCTCTCTCTGCTTTCCACTTTTCCACTAATTGGGCTCTGACTGAAAACAAGAGACAGCAGGTGTTACTTTGGTTTCTAAATAAGCTTTAAACATCATGCAAGGCAAAGCCAAGATGTTCCATTAGAAAAGGGTCACCTTTCATTCTGCCCTGGTGGGAGGGAATCAGATGTGAGGAGCAGTCTGGTCCCACACAGCTCTGACTTTAGTCACTACAAGGCAGCTTTTTAGGGAACATTCTCAGGTCCTCCTCAGTTCACCAACCTTGGTGGCCTCCTGTCATGCCCATGTGAAAAGAGACGCTGTCATACAGCATGTTGGCAAAGGGCTCCAACTCCTGACTACCTGCTTCTAAAGCCCTAGTTCAGTGCACCTCCTAGGGAGTAGCACTTCCTCTTCACAGAGTTGTCATGAGGCTTCAAAAGAATGTCCATAGCCGAGGCTGGTTTGGCTCAGTGGTGGAGCGTCTGTCTGCGGACTGAAGGGTCCCAGGTTCGATTCTAGTCAGGGGCATGTACATTGGTTGCGGGCACATCCCCAGTGCGGGGGAAGGAGGGGGGGTGCGCAGAAGGCAGCTGGTCGATATTACTCTCTTGTCAATGTTTCTGGCTCTCTCTCTCTCTCTCCCTTCCTCCTCTCCGTAAAATATCAATAAAATATATATTTTTTTAAATGTCCATAAAAGGCTCAGCATGTTGCTTGTCTTAGAGCAATGTTTCCCAAACTTTTGACATATGTGTACCCCTTCTATAATTTTCGTAACGCTGAGTACCCCTCATCAAAAAAAAAAAAAAAAAAAAAAAGGATGTATTAGGCGCAGCTAAGCACGGTGCAGTGCCCCACCAAACTCCGGTGCAACGCGTACCCCCACCAAACTCTTCCCATATCCCTGGGGGTACGCGTACCACACTTTGGGAAACACTGTCTTAGAAGAAGCTCTCAGAAAGGCAGAGCCGTTTTGCTCTACATTGATATCCCATTACTTGTGTTTAAAGCAGATCTAAACCTCCTTAAGCAAGCAATACTTCATGATTTCAAGAAAGGTTAGTCTGGGAAGGAATCCTGGTGGACAGGGAGCAGATGAGATGACGCTCTGTAGCTTCTCCAACATGCTCCTTCTGGCCCACCACCATGCTAACTGCCTCATAGTTACTCATAGTTTGGGCATTAGCAGATCATTTTCTCTGAAGATCATTAGCAACAAAGAAAACTCCCTTCTGGCATAAAGCGTTATGAAAAAAAAAAAAAAACAGTTTCAAAGGAGAAAAAGAAACCAGATGCCAAATAAAACGAAATGCCTGTAAACCTACATTTCTTTTCATATTCCTGTTCCAAAGGCACAATAACACCATCATCTTCATCTAGGTAACCGTAGTATTCAAAATCAATTGCCTTCATGAGCTCAGCACGTGTCTTTCTTGGAGGAGGAAGAGCTAAAAGAAAGAGTACCAACTTAGGTGAATTTCGCATCATTATCACACTCAAGCCTTCTCCCTACACATTATTACAGAGGTATATAATAGTATGTGTGTTCATGAAAATATGAAAGACACTTCTCTACACTAGTAATTGGATTATATAAAGTGGTACTATCCATCAGTGTTGAAGTCTTTGACCCAATTAGTCCATTTAAAAAGAACTTATCCTGCCCTTGCCAGTTTGGCTCATTGGATAAATAAGCATTGGCCCATGGACCAAAGAGCCACAAGTGGAACAATGGGGCAAAGGTCACTGCTGTCTTATTAAGAAATTGCCACAGCCACCCAATCTTTAGGAACTACCAACCTGATGAGTCATCAGCCATAAACATCAAGGAAAGACCTTCCATCAGCAAAAAGATGATTACTTACTAAAGGGTCAGGTGATGGTTAACATTTTTTAGCAATAAAATATTTTTAAATTAAGGTGTGTACATTATTTTTTACCATAATGCTATTACTGCGAACTTAATATGACTACAGTATAGTGTAAACAACTTTATATACACTGGGAAACCAATATATTCATAACTCTCTTTATTGTGATATTTGCTTTATTGCTGTCGTCTGGAACTGAACCTGTAATAGCTCCAAAGTATGCCTGGGCACGAAAACTCCAGACCAGTGGTTTCCATTTTGAAAGGCCAAGGTTTGACAGAAGTTTCCCAGGGCCATGGAGGAAAGGACAGGAGAAATAAGGGTACCTTCAGTGATACCAACAGCAATCAAGGCTTAATAAAAAAAATAATAATAATAAATAAAATAAAAAGGGTGCCTCACTTGGATTGACACAGAGCAGCTTGACTTTTCTCTCTCTTTACCTATTGTGGTTAGGCACAAGGTTTTACTTGTCAGTTGTTTTCAAATAACAGGTAAGTAAAATATTAATCCAATTCAATTAAAATCCTGCCCCAATAATTTTGGGAAATTTCAAAGAGAGGAGCTCCTCATTCAGATTAAAAGACTACTATGTGCAAAGAGTGTGGAATTTGGCACTAGTCATTTCTAGATACTTTTCAGTCCCAATTGTGTATCCTGGGCCTGTAACTTCATTTCTTAGTGCTTAAAGGTTCTTGTTTAAAAACCTAGGAACAGCCGAAACTGGTTTGGCTCAGTGGATACAGCGTTAGCCTGTGGACTGAAGGGTCCCAGGTTCAATTTTGGTCAAGGGCATGTACCTTGGTTGCAAGAGGCAGCTGATCAATGATTCTCTCTCATCGATGTTTCTAACTCTCTATCCCTCTCTCTTCCTCTCTGTAAAAAAATCAATATATTTTAAAAACAAAACAAAAAAAAAACAAAAATCCTAGGAACAATAATTCTGATACTACAGGGGTGTTGTGCAGCTAAGAAGTAATATAGGAGAAGCACCCAGCACATAGCATGTCTACTGTTATGATGATTACCAATAAATTCAAAGTTAGTATTTTTTGCCATCAGAAAGTGGCAAAAAGGGAGCCACGGAGAAAGTGGTTAATCTGTTTTCTAAGAAGATTAGTATGATGTGAAAGCATCAGTTATGTTCCATGTAAGAAATATTAGAAAAATACTAGTCACAAGGACTCAAGAAACCAAAATTGTACCTGATGGTGTTAAGGGTTGTGTTTTTGAAGTGAGCCTAACTTATCTGAGAATCATCGATGAAGTTGTATTTAGAAAATTCAAGCTAATTACTAAGGATACTCAGAGCAAAAATTGCCCAATTTTCATGACACAGATCTTAACCTGTAACAAAATGTGTTCCATATTCAAAAAATAGTAGCCCATGATTAAAGCTCATGTTGATATCAAGACTACCGACAGTTATTTAATTCATCTATTCTGTGTTGGTTTTACTAAAAACAAAACAAAACACAGCAATCAGGTTCGAAAGACTTCTTAGGTTCAATAACAACAGTCTGCCAAATCTGGAAAATGATGAAAATCATGACCCAAGGGGGGCAAATGACCTGAAAGAAGTAGTTAATAAATTGATCCCAGAAAGCATTGGAAAAGACATAGAAAAGTCTTGCAATCTATTTGTCTGCTCCATGATGTCTTTGTTAGAGAAGTAAAAATGCTGAAGAAGCCCAAGTTTGAACTCGAGATTCATGGTGAAGATAGCAGTTTCGGCAAAGCCATTAGGGATGAGACAGGTATTGAAAGTTAAATGACCTAATGGATGAGTCCCCCATCCAAGAATCTGTTTAGAATTCAAACTTACTTCAATGGTAACAAATAAAATTCTATTTGTAATGTTTAAAAATTTTTGAGGTCAAAACCCACGCAAATGTTAATTACTTACGTTCTTTTTCAAATAGCTCTCTAACACCAGGCAAATCTTTTGCTGCTCCAAAGTATTTGTAACCTCGATTCCCTGGGACTTCTTTGCCTTCATGATCAAGCATTTTAGGGCCAACTTTCTTAACGGCAAAGAAAAAGAGAAAATATTTATGTACACACAAAAAAATATGTAGGTGCCTTTTTATCCTTTAAAAATCCATCTAAATACCTAAAAGTTGGTTGAGTGTCCATCTATATACTGAAATATGGGGGGGTTCAATTCCCAGTCAGGGCACAAACTCAGGTTGTCAGTTCAGTCCCTGGTCAGGCTAGGTACAGGAGGCAACCAAATATTATTTCTTTCTCGCATGGATAGTTCTCTCTTTCCCTGCCTCCCTCCTCTCTCTAAATAAAATATATATATATATATATATATATATATATATATATATATATATTTTTTTTTTTTTTTTTTTTTTTTTTTTTTTTTGCCAAAACCGGTTTGGCTCAATGGATAGAGCATCGGCTTGGGGACTGAAGGGTCCCAGGTTTGATTCCGGTCAAGGGCATGTACCTTGGTTGCGGGCACATCCCCAGTGGGGGGTGTGCAAGAGGCAGCTGATCGATGACTCTCTCTCATCCATGTTTCTAGCTCTCTATCTCTCTCCCTTCCTCTCTGTACAAAATCAATAAAATATATATTTTTTTAAAAGAAATATATATATATATATCTATTTATATAAAAACTTAAGTGACCGGGTGCCTAGATGACCAGCCAGTAGCTATGATACGCACTGATGACCCGGGGCAGATGCTCAATGCAGGAGCTGCCCCCTGGTGGTCAGTGTGCTCCTACAGCAGGAGCACTGTTCATCTGATGGATGAGCACCAGACACCAGGCTCACTGCTGGCAAGCACAGCTGCAGCAGCGCCTCTCCCACAGACACTCACTGTGAGCTCAAGCAGCGGCAGCAGGTGCAGTGGGGCCAGGATGAAAAGGAGCAGTGCGGTAGCCAGTCTGGGCTCAGGCTCCTCCCTGGCCACCTGCTGCTTCCCGCACTACTTCCAGCTGTGCGAGATCGATGCAGACAGTGGGCTGGAGCTCAATGAGTTGGCAGGTAAGGCCAGGCTGCTGTGGCATGGAGATCCACTGATCCCCGCAGGCCAGGCCGAGGGACCTCACCAGTGCACGAAATTCGTGCAAGAGTAGGCCTTCCTTTCCCTGGTGGCTGGCACCAGCTTCCTTTTGGCACCCGGGACCAGGGCTTCCCTCGCAGCCCTGGCTTCATCCAGAAGGACGTCCAGTCTAATTAGCATATTATGTTTTTATTATAGATATCCTCAGATGATGATCAAAGTAAAAAAGCAGGATTATAAAAAAAGGAAATATTCAAGTATTGCAAAGATAACTAAAAGCTGCTCTGCTTCTTTATACTTTTCTGACCTCGATAACAATGTATTAGTTTTTTCTTTTTATTGTGGAAAAATATACATAACATAAAATTTACCATTGCCCTGGTCAAAGTGGCTCAATTGGTTGTAGCGTTATCCCATGGACCGAAAGATTAGCATTTTAATTCCCAGTGGGGCACATATGGCAACCGATCAATGTGATTCTCTCTCATGCATTGATGTTTCTTTCTCTCTCTCTCTCATCCCAACCTCTCCCCACCTTCACATATCTTTGGGTGAGGAAAAAATAATTTACCATCTTAAACATTCTTATGTGTACACAAAAATGATACTCTCATCTCGGTGGCAGAGTCAGCTGCCACCCACCACGCTGGGGCTCAGTATATATGACAAGAGAGAATCACTGATCGGCTGCACTCCCTGCACTGGGGATTGAGCCCACAACCCGGGCACATGCCCTAACCGGGAATGGAACTGTGACCTGGTTCATAGGTCGATGCTCAAACACTGAGCCATGCAGGTTGGGCAGGGCCAAGGTCATTTTAAAAAAGGCCCAGAGAGCTGAAACCGGTTTGGCTCAGCGGTAGAGCATCGGTCTGCGGACTGAAAGGTCCCAGGTTCGATTCCGGTCAAGGGCATGTACATTGATTGTGGGCACATCCCCAGTGGGGAGTGTGCAAGAGGCAGCAGGTCGATGTTTCTCTCTCATCGACGTTTATAGCTCTCTCTCTCTCTCCCTTCCTCTTTGTAAGAAATCAATAAAATATATTTAAAAATAAACAAACAAACAAATAAATAAATAAAAAATAAAAAAGGCACAGAGAAATCAATGGGCTTACTCAGGAACATCTGACTGGTATCCTATCTGATCTGAGCCATGTTCTGTGGAGTCTTTAAAAATGATCCGACCTATACTTTTCATAGGTTTCCTGTCCACATTCAACAGGTACCTTTAAAAAAATAAAATAAAATTATATATATATATATATTTAATTGATTTCAGAGAGGATGGGAGAGGGAGAGAGATAGAAACATCACAGATGAGAAAATCATTGATTGGCTGCCTCCTGCACTCCCCCTACTGGGGATCAAGCCCACAACCCACACATGTGCCCTCGACCAGAATAGAACCAGGGACCCTTCCAGTCCATAGGCTAATGCTCTGTCCACTGAGCCAAATTGGTGAGGGCCCACAGGCAGTTTTTCAAGTCTTATTTCATGTCTTGAGTGCTTTCCCTCTAGCAGGCACAGGCTGGGGCCTAGACAGGCCCTATCCAGCCTGCCCAAAATATTACAAGCTCATCCCAAACAGCCACAGTGGCTGTTGCTTACTTACTAGATAATCAGGACCACCCAGCTCCTTTATCCGGACCTCCCAGTGTCCTTTCTCTCTTAGCAGTTTGTTAATTTCATCATTCAGGTCACGAATTCGGAATTCACCTAAACCAGCTAGAAAACAAAAACATTCATATCATACCTTCAAAACACCACTCAGTGTCATGCCCATAAAAATAAATGCCACAACAAAACAGTCATATTTGGGGACTTTAACACCCCACCGATATAACTGGATAGATCTTCCGAACAAAAAATCAACAAGTAAACAATAACCTTGCCGAAATTGGTTTGGCTCAGTGGTAGAGAATCGGTCTGCGGACTGAAAGGTCCCAGGTTCGATTCCGGTCAAGGGTATGTACATTGGTTGCGGGCACATCCCCGATAGGGGGTGTGTAAGAGGCAGCTGGTCGATGTTTCTCTCCCATCGACGTTTCTAGCTCTCTATCCCTCTCTTCTCCTCTCTGTAAAAAATCAATAAAATATATTAAAAAAATACATACAAAGCTAAATTTAAAAAATAAATAAAATAAATAAACATTACTTATAAAAAAAACAATAACCTTAAACAACATACTAGATCAGATGTATTTAATTGATATTTATAGAACATTTCACCCCAAAGCTGCAGAATATACATTCTCCTCAAGTGCATATGGAACATTCTCAAAACAGACCACATATTAAAACACCAAGTAAGTCTTTTTAAGTTTAAGACTGAAATCATATCAAAAACAAAAGCACTAAAAAATATTCATACTCATGGAGGCTAAATAGCATGTTATTAAATGATGAATGGGTTACTAATGAGATTTAAAAAAAATCAGACAAGAAGAAAAAGTCATCCAAATTGGAAAAAAGAAAGTAAAACTGACATTCCATGTCAGGATATTGTACATAGGAAACCCAAAATAGTCCACCAAAAAATACTAGATTTAATAAATGAATTTGGCAAAGTAGCAGGATACAAAATTAACATTTAGAAATCAATAGCATTTTTTATGCACCAATAATGAACTCTCAGAAAGAGAAATTAAGAAACCCATTTACCACTGCAAAACAACAAAAAAAGATACCTATGAATAAACTTAACCAAGAAGGTAAAACTCCTATACTCTAAAAATAACAGAACAGCCAAAACCAGTTTGGCTCAATGGATAGAGCGTCAGCCTGTGGACTGAAAGGTCCCAGGTTCGATTCCGGTCAAGGGCATGTACTTTGGTTGAGGGCACATCCCCAGTGGGGGATGTGCAGGAGGCAGCTGATCGATTTTTCTCTCTCATAGATGTTTCTAGTTCTCTATCCCTCTCCCTTTCTCTCTGTGAAAAATCAATAAAATATATTTTTTTAAAACAACAGGACATTGAAAAAGAAATAAAGGAAAAAACAAACAAATGGAAGCATATGCCATGTCCATGGATTGGAAGAATTAGCATAATTAAAATATCCATATAACACAAAACGATCTATAGCTTCAACACAATCTCTATTAAAATACCAAAGATAGTCCTAGCCGGTTTGGTTCAGTGGATAGAGTGTCAATCTGCAGACCAAAGGGTTCCAATTTTGATTCCAGTCATAGGCACATACCTTGGTTACAGGCTCCTCTCTGGCCCAGGGCCCTGGGTTGGGGTGCATGCAAGAGGCAACCAATCAATGTGTTTCTCTCACATTGATCTCTGTCTTTTCCTTTCTTAACCATGCTCTCTAAAGGATTATTGGGCCCTAGCTGGTTTGGCTCAGTGGATAGAGTTGGCCTGTGGACCAAAGGGTCCCTTCCCAGGTTCGATTCTGGTCAAGAGCACATACCTTGGTTAAAGGCTCCACCCTGGCCTGGGCCCTGGTCGGGGTTTGTGCAGGAGGCAACCAATCAATATGTCTCTCTCACATTAATGTTTCTCTGTTTTCCCCTCTCTCTTCCACTCAACCTAAAACTCAATGGAAAAGTATCCTCTGGAGCCGAGATCGGTTTGGCTCAGTGGATAGAGCTTCGGCCTTCCAGACTGAAGAGTTCCGGGTTCGATTCCGGTCAAGGGCATGTACCTTGGTTGCGGGCACATCCCCAGTGGGGGGTGTGCAAGAGGCAGCTGATCAATGGTTCTCTCTCATTGATGTTTCTAACTCTCTATCCCTTTCTCTTCCTCTCTGTATAAAATCAATGAAATATATATATATATTTTAAATCCTCTGGTGAGGATTAATGGGGGGGGGAAAAAGAGAGAACAAAGCATCATTAAAATATAATAATTTAAAAAAAAAGATAACTGGAAAAATATCCTCGTGTGAGAATTAACAAAAAATAAATAAATCTCTCTATATATATTTACCAGTATAAGCCCAGCAACCAGAACGATTGGTCAGTCACTATGATGCGTACTGCAGCAGCCAAGATCAGCCCCATCGGCCCCCCTCAACCACCCGTGTCCCCCGCCCACCACCAGCCGGCCCGATTGACCTCCATCGGATTCAAGCACAGGGCCTCTACCCTGTTTCCCCGAAAATAAGACAGTGTGTTATGTTAATTTTTGCTCCCAAAGATGCGCTAGGTCTTATTTTCAGGGGGTGTCTTATTTTTCCATGAAGAAGAATACGGTACACATTTATTGTTAAATGAAAATAAAGGAAATTTATCACCTGTATACGGTATGGTAGTACGGTAGTTGTCAACACAAACCAGACAAATTGTGAATCCTACAGTATGAAGAATTTACTCATTTATTCAATGACAATCATGTCATCATTTTCTGGAACATCATCATAACAATCCAATTCCTGAATTTTCTGGTGAATTTCTTGTGACTCCATTTCTTTCAGAATCAGTGGACCAAATCTCTCATAGTTAGCCTTGGGGAGCCTTATTTTTGGGGGGATGCCTTATATTTCACTCAGAAGGAAACCTGTAAGTAGGTCTTATTTTCAGGGAAACACGGTAGTAAGTAAATAAATAAATATACCAAAGGCATATTTCACAGATCTAGAACAAATATTCTCTTTCTCTATCTGCTTCTCTCTCTCTAGAATCAATCAAAAATCAATAAAAAGGTAGAACAGTGTGTAGAAGTCCCCAAGTCTAATTGTGTATTTTAAAATCAAGCACTTTAAGTAGATAGACTAACTTACCATTCTGAATTTGAGCCACTTTTTTAGAGATCTCTCCAATGATCTGTGGGGGGGGGAAAAGCCAGTAAATTCTTACAACTTTTGGATATGTCTAAAAGCACAGGAAAATATAATTAAAAACTGGTTATTAAAAAACTTAGAATTTTGGTTTAAGAGTCATTTAGACAATAAGCAATTTGAGACCTGTTACTTCTACTAAGATCATATTCTGAATGTACCTGTCGTCTCCACTTCTCAGCTTTGGGTAATTCAGTACATTCTGAGGCAAGGAAGGGTCTTCGTTCCTAAAAGGAAGCAAATTATACACGTTGCCACTATATTGTATGAAGTTACAAGCTTCATTCACCATTCAACTGATTTAGGCCTAACGTCTAAGATGTCTAATGATTTAAACACTTCCGAAGTTCCAATTGCAGATCTTCATCAAGCCTTAAACCTACTCTACAGTCTCTATTTAGGAAACAACTATATTAGCAAAAACATTCATTGCACTGTATTGTATTTAATACAGTAAGCCAATGGAAACAACTTAAAAGTCCAATAATAGCCTGGCTAGAGTGGCTCAGTAGTTGAGCCTTGCCCCGTGAACCAAGCAGTCAGGACTCGATTCCCAGTCAGAGCACATGCCCAGGTTCAGGCCAGTGTGGGGTGTGTAGGAGACAGCTGATCCATGATTCTCTCTTATCATTGATGTTTCTATCTCTCTCTCCCTTCCTCTCTAAAATCAATAAAAATATTTTTTTAAATATTGTGGTACATATATACAGTAGAATATTACTCAACCATAAAGAACACTCTTGACCAGTGTGGCTCAGTTTGTCAAGTATTGTCAGGTCCACTGAAAAAAGGTCGCCAGTTCGATTCTCAGTCAGAGTGCATGTCTAGGTTTCAGGCCCAATCCCCCATGGGGGTGCATGTAGAAAGCAGCTGAAAGATGCTTCTCTCTTACATTAATATTTTTCTCTCTCTTTCCCTTTCCCTTCCTCTCTCTCTAAAATCAATAAAAATATTATTTAAATAAATGAAATCTTACCACTTATGATAGCGTAGATGGACCTAGAGCGTATTATGCTATGTAAAATAAGTCAGAGAAAGACAAACACCATGTGATTTCACTTATATGTGAAATCTGAAGAACAATATAAATAAACAAAACAGAAAGAGACTCATAAATATAGAGAACAGACTGATGACTGCCAGAAGGGCAAGGGGTAGGTTGAGGGACAGGGGTGAAAAAGGTAAAGGGAGTAAGAAGTACAAATTGATAATTACAAAATAGTCACGGGGATGTAAAATACAGCATATGGAATATAGTCAATAATACTGTAATAACTATGTATGGGGCAGGTGAAACTAGAAATATTAGGGGGAACACTTTGTAAACTGTATGATTATCTAACCACTATGATGTACACTTGAAACTAATACAAAAAAAACTAAAGAAAAAAAATAAAATAATTCAAAGAATGGTACATTTTATCCCTAACCTGGCTGACTCTCTGTGAGTTTGAGGTCACTTATTGGTTTCAGGTTAGAGCTGTTCCCCACAGCATTTCCTCTACCTAGAGCTGGGATAATATCAGAACTCAATGATCATCATACAAAAGAGACAGAAGGACAAGCAGCCAGATCATCACAATGCCCAGAAACAGAGAGATACAGCTGGAATTTAAGTGTATAGATTCATAAGTGTGTCAGCAAGTACAAACAAGAAATAGGAAGATTTGGAGTTTGAAGACTGCTGAGAAGGGAATTTTACCACAATGTTCATGGTATTTACAACTTATGAGGAAAATTTACACCAACCTTCACTTTTCCCTCTTCCAATTGAGCTTGGCGAAATCTTGCTAAGGCCGTCCTACCAGAAAGAGAGAAGACTCCATTAAATCTTGCTCACAGACTTATCACCCAAGTTCCTGTATAGGGTAAATCTGCTCATGAACGTATTTATCAGAGCACTGTGGTGAGCAGCACATCCAGATGTGAAAGACTAATATCCTGGGGTGCCCCAGCTGCCACTCTCACAGCCCATGCACCATCCCCAGATGAATGAATGTTCATCTGGTAAAAGTTCTAGGAACTGTCAGAAAACAAATGGGAAAATATAGAAATACTATTTTAAAATGTGTAAAGAAACATGTACCAAAAGGTTCATATATCAACAGGACTAAATACAAAAAGAGCTCTGTCGTAATAATTGTTACATAAAATTTACAGACAAAATCAAGTTGATACTTACATGGCCTTTTCTGCATTTCGGGCCTAAAAGGAGAGAGAAGGGAAGAAAAATACCCATTTTAAAATGACTTGCAACCAGAGGAGCAATGGGCAGCAACAGCTCATCCTGGGCTAACCCCAGAACCTGTCTCCAAGGCTCCTTTTCTTTGACTTTCCAGTAAGCCAAAGCAGCCTAGGCTCATTTCTCTCCTGTAACATTTCTAGAGACCCAAAGCAACCCTGCCTAGGCTCTCTCCTGTTGCTTCTTCTATCTTAAGCTCTTCCTTGCCCGCAGCTTTAATAAACATACTCTCAAAATAAAAAATATATATTATGTGCCACCAGTGTGGCTCAGTGGTTGAGCTTCGAACCATGAACCAAGAGGTTACAAGTTCCATTCCTGGTCAGGACACATACCCAGGTTGCAGGTTCGATACCCATTAGGAGGCATGCAGGAGGCAACCAAGGACTGATCTCTCCTATGAATATTTCCTTCTCTCTATCCCTCTCCCTTCCTAAAATCAATAAAAACATATTAAAAGATATATATTAAAAGATATCCAAATCCTGTGACTTTACCTAATCTGTTCCCTCTATCTAAAATCTTTGTCTGCTCCCCAACCCCTTGGATCTGATTTACTCCTAGTCATCCTTCAACCTTTACCTTCGTCATCACTACCCCCGAAAGTTCTTTCATGACCCCTTTCTTCCCAGCTAAACTGCTACCCTTTGTCTGGGTATCCCTTCCATGGCACTTTCTATCCAGCATCACAATTGTCTGTTCCCTGGCAATGCTATTTGAGGAAGACTGACTTTTACAAAGTGAGTTTTATGTAAGTATTGTCACATTAGTGCCAAGTATCCCTGAAAAACACAATGTCAGGCAGGGAAGATGTTTTCTGGATACAAGAAGAAAGAATTCTTGCTGAGTCATGTAATTGAATTTTATTCTCGGCTCTTCAACTTACCATCCCTAAGAAGTAGTCTCTCTAAAACAACTTTACATCAGTAGCGTGTACCTCTTCTCTCATAGAAATGTCATGATGACTTGATGAGATAAATACATGAAGACATCAGTTATGCAGTTTATACTCAGCAAAAGTGTGCTCACTTAAAACTCTTTTCTGACTCTCCATTTCACTGGACACAGAAATAAACTTGGCAAATGCTTGTGGGATAAATGAGCAAAATATCTACTAAGGAATAAAACAGAGGCTCTCGGCCAAACCCAGTTTGGCTCAGTGGACAGAGTCGGCTTGCGGACTGAAAGGTCCTGGGTTCAATTCCAATCAAGGGCATGTACTCTGGTTGCAGGCACATCTGCAGTAGGGGGTGTGCAAGTGGCAGCTGATCGATATTTCTCTCTCATCGATGTTTCTAACTCTCTATCCCTCTCTCTTTCTCTCTGTAAAAAAAAAAAAAAAAAAAAAAAAAAAAAAAATATATATATATATATATATATATATATATATATACACACACACACACACACACACACACACACACACATATATATATATATATATATATTTTTTTTTTTTTTTTTTAATTTAAACACAGAGGCTCTCAGAGGGGAAGCCATCCTGTTGAAGGCTGAGGCTGTCTGGGTCTTATGTATTTCAGTAAAGCCTATAGTTCCTAAATATTTAATTCAGTGTTTCTCATTGCTTACTCCATGCTTAATACACCATGCCAGGTGCTAGGAATTCTGCCATGGTTCTTCCATGGAACTCACAGGAACGTCCTCCAGAACAGTGCATCAATTATAAGTGATCAGTGATAAGGGTATGTATCCAGTGTGATGAACCCACAAATACGAATGTGTGACGGTGACAGTTATATAAAATACCCCAAAACTTCTGAAAACATAAATATCCAGGTCCTAGGAGATTCCCGAAGCTCACCCGAGTTCAGAAAGGAAGAGCATTTCCGGGCAGAATGCAACAGTAAATTTGGAGCATATCCTCCTACAAAGCATATCCTTCTAGCCAGCTGGTTTCTTTCTTCTCAGGCTCTTGTGATCATCAATTACAAGGACTTCCAATATGCCCTTGTGTGGTAATTATTCTATACTACAACCTTACTATGGCATGGAGTGCTTCTTATGGAGGCCTCATTTAATGAAAATACTATTGTAACCAACACGCATGAGCACATTTTTGCACCAGTACTCTCATAGTTACCCGTCGTGAGCACTTCTTGAATGAAGCCCACTAACCAGGCCAGAGATCACACCCTCATGCAATGACGGTACGGCATTCATTCATGCGTTACTGGACACCTACAACGTGTCAGACAATGTGTTGGACATGAAAGAAGCAATGGTGAAAAGACCGTCTACCCTCGGGAAGTTTACATCTTACGGGGAAGCACGGACATGAAGTCAAATAATCTAGGAACACATGGTCACAACCGCAGTGTGACTTGGGGACAAACAACCCGACACCCTGAATCGGGGCCGGTCCTTGTGCCTCTCTGTTCCTTTCTTTCCCCTATCTGTAATGCAAAGCGCTTCGTCCAGATTAAAACACCATGGGGAGATGGCGGTTCTCGACATTCCAGTTTCCCCCTCCAAATTCTAACAGCTAAAGAGCGACAAGAAGAGAACTCCCCCAAGTTACAGCCTAGGAGCCTGAGGCCCGCAGTGATGCCGCCAGCGATGGTGCTGGGCATCCTCGCGGCCCGCCGGCTCGCTCTCCCTCCACTCCGCCCCGCTACTCACCATGGTGCAAGTGAGGGGGGCCGCCCTCGGACCGCGCGGCCAGAGAACTTCCCGGCCTCAGGGGAGGCCAGCCCCGACGGGAACTGAAGATCCTCACTGACCGCACCGCCGATTTTTCTGTCGGAAAAGGAAAAAAGGGGGCGGGGAAAGAACCGGAAGTAAGGGACCGGAAGTGAAATTGGAATCGGCCAGGGAAGCGGGAGGAAATGCAGACTTGCTTTCGCAGGCGGCCTTCCATGGACTTCTGGACGTCACCAGCGCGCGTGCGTAGGAAGAATGGGACGTTGGCAAAACTGCGCTTGCGCACCGGTACTGCGACTCCGCCCTGGGCGTCTGGTTTTACTCTCGCGATAACAACTGCGAATGTCACGTGGTAACTCTCAGTACTGCAGGAGCCAGCGTGCTAGTGCAGTTGTCTGAGGTTGTGTGAAGTTGTAGTGGTTACTCTAGACTGTCATGTTCTCTTCCTTTTCTCAATGAATGGACTGAATTCTCACAACCTACTGGGTGCAGATTTGCCAAAAGTACTAAGAAGCATTCCTCTTTGGTGACACACAAAGAATCTTGAAATTTGGAAAAAAAAAATTATAGCTACGACTTAATATTCTAAATACTAGGCCCTTTACTAACAATATCTCATGTAATCCATAATCTTGCGCATATGAGGAAACTAGAATTTAAAGCTACTTGCTCAGTTCCAAATCTAAGCCAACTGACTGAGCTGAGATTCCAGTGAGGTCCAACACTACATCCCATGTTGTTGGCATGATGCTACACAGCCTCAAAAGGATTACATACAACTACCGATAGGCCTTGGAGATGAAAGTGACAAATAACTTGGCCAGGTTTCAGAAGTTACACACTTTAATTTCTGAGGTATTCTACCGTTGGCTTGCCTTTTTAAGATTTTAGGGCCCTTTCACTAATTGTTCTTCATAAAGTATACAGTAAACCCTCGTGTTGAAAAATTCTTACTGAGATATAACTGAATTAATTACCTTACTGCCACCAAATTATTTTTGCTAAGCTTGGTCACTTAGCGATGTTCTGTGGGGAAGACAAAAGTAGTCAGGTTCTAGCCTCTGGTGTGTGGGTCATACTGCAAAGTATCTTCAATGAAAAAATGATTCTCAATTGAGGGTGATTTGACCCTCCAAGGGGCATTTTGGCAATGTCCATTTTTTGCATGGTAGGGGTAGGGTACTACTGCATTTAATATATAGAGGCCAGGGATGTTGCTAAACATCCTAAAATATCCAGGACAGCCTCCCCCAACTAAGAATTATCATATCTCAAATATCAAAGTGCTGAAGTTGAAATATCTTGCTCTATACTCAATGCCAGTACTAAGGACCACAGTTATGAGAGCCACATCTGTGCTTTTTAAAAATGCAAATTCCGCCGAAACCGGTTTGACTAAGTGGATAGAGCGTTGGCCTGCGGACTCAAGGGTCCAGGTTCGATTCTGGTCAAGGGCATGTACCTTGGTTGCCGGCACATCCCCAGTAGGGGGTGTGCAAGAGACAGCTGACGGATGATTCTCTTATTGATGTTTCTCACTTTCTCTTCCTCTCTGTAAAAAATCAATAAAATATATTTTTTTCTAAAATGCAAATTCCTGCCCTAGGTGGTTTGGCTCAGTGGATAGAGCGTTGGCCTGCAGACTGAAGGGTCCCAGGTTTGATTTAGATCAAAGGCCCATGCTTGGTTGCAGGCTGGATCCCAGTAGGGGGCATACAGGAGGCAGCCTATCAATGATTCTCATCATTGATGTTTCTATCTCTCACTCTACCATCCTCTCTGAAATCAATAAAAATACATTTGAAAAATGCAAATTCCTGGGCTCCACCTAAGTAAAACACAAGGAGGACTAGTCCACATCAAACCAATAGCCCTAAATCTATAGGGTTTTCCCACTAAGCACCAGGTGTGATCACTGGAAAGTTGGTGTTAGGGTCACACAAGGCCAAAAGGGTGAAGAATTTTAAGTGCACAAGAGGTCTGGTGTTCAAATTTGTGTATGGGTGGAGTCCTTCAGCCTGGCTGGTGAAGGGACCGATCTGGGCCAGCCAGCAGGGGAGGGACTGCTGGAGGTTGGCTGTGGGAACGCACTGGTCACCAGGGGGCAGCTCCTGTGTTGAGCATCTGCCCCCTGATGGTCACTGCACCGTCATAGTGACCGGTCTACCAGTAGTTTAGTCAACCGGTTTTAACTGTCACTTAGGCTTTTGTATGTATAGATTAGGTTATCAGCAGACCAGATGGGCTGAGCCCCAAAATGACACCAGCACCCAGGGACGGGATTCAGAGATTTTAAAGGACTCTAGGTGGGCTTTTTTTTGGGTGGAGAATTAGGATCCAGAACCTGGGAAAGTCTAGAGGGGAAGGATAATGGTCTTAGCAAATGGAATATGGTTTTAGCAAATGGAATGTGTCTAAGTGAAATGAAATATCATATTGGTTATAAACTGGGCTAAAGGTCAGTTCCCAGGGGAGTACCGATTCAATTATTTGATCAGACCTAATAGAAAAAAACCACAATCCCAAGGACATCCCCATGGGACTAGATGCACAACTGAAAACCTAAGAAAATAAACAAGCTAGGGGAAATATTTGCAACATATACAAGACAATGGGTTGCAATCTCTAATATGGAGAGTTCTTACAAATCAAACGATCAATGATTCTCTCATCACTGATGTTTCTCTCTCCCTCTCCCTTCCATTCTGAAAGCAATAAAAAATATTGTTTAAAAATTATTTGCTACATAAGCAAAAATATGCAAACAGCTAAAAGATAGCTTTGCTATGCCTATCAAAATTCGATGAAATTTGAGTGCATTTGAGATCTTGCTACCAGGCATAGGTTCAGTTTGGCTCAAATAATAAACACATAAAAATTCTCTACAGGGGCCCCACCAGGTAGCTTAGTTGGTTGGAGCATTGTTCCAAAACCCCAAGGTTGTGGGTTTGATCCCGTCAGGGCACATACAAGAATCAACCAATGATTGATTGTGGCTCAGTATCGAGCGTCAACTTGTGAACCAGGTCACATTTCGATTCCCAGTAAGGGCACAGTCCTCACTAGAGAGCATGCAGGAGGCAGCTTATCAGTGATTCTCTTTCATCATTGTTGTTTCTATTTCTCTTTACTCTCTCTGAAATAAAAAAAATAATCAACCAGTGAATGCATACGTGGAAAAACAAATTCTCCTCCCTTCTCTATAATAAAAATTTTTTTTAATTCTCTACAAGTTCATCAATTTACTTGGCATAACACAGGATTTTAAAGAAGCCCACCCAGGACCACCCAATGGACCCAGATCTGATACAAGGTACCAGCAGGATACCATTGTGCCCCAGTAGGTTCCTTTCACACATCCAGTGAACTTTGGTTTCTCTTGGAATTCTGGGCCTCCTTGCTTCAAGTAGCAGGGCCATGCTTTTTTTTAAGCTGTTCCTGAAAAGCCGATGGGGTGATGGAAGTTGTTCAGATCCCTGAACCTGGAGTGGCAGAGATGGGCATCCAGTCGTCCAGTGCAGTAGCGCAGGACATCCCGAAGCCAACAGGAGCCTTGGGAAGGGCAGGGCACTTTGGAATGAGTGCACCCCGAGGGATCCATGATTTCAGTTCCCATCGCAATTGGGAAGCTCTTACTGGCCCTGTGTATTCTTGGGTGACTGGAGTACACATAAGGCATGCTTTTTCCTGGAAGTTTGTTCAGACTTTACAGATCTCAAAATTAACACGGGAAATCATTCATCAGAAGCCAAGAAGTCCCATGACTATCTGCCCTTCATTGACACTAAGTTGGCTGAGCCTGGCCAGTGTTGCTCAATGGTTGAGCATCAACCTATGAACAGGTCACTGTTCAATCCTGGGTCAGAGCACATGCCCAGGTTTTGGGCTCAGTCCCCAGTAAGGGAGGTGGAGGAGATTGCCAGTTGATAATTCTCTCATAATTTATGTTTCTCTGATTTCTACTTTCTGAAATCACTGAACATATTTGAAAAACAGATGGCTGAAATGAGGATTGATACAGCTGTATTAATTTTTGTGCACCAAATGTAGAAAAAATTATAAAATAGGCATAATAGAACACATTTTCAACTGGCCTTTCACACCTTTGAAGAGGATATTGGTTTAGGTGTCAACCCAATTTTTAAAAAAATATAATTGACTTTTCACAGAAAGGAAGAGAGGAATAGTCAGAAACATCAATGAGAAACATCAATCAGCTGCCTCTTGCACACCCTCTACTGGGCACATGCCCTTGCCTGGAATTGAATGTAGGACCTTTCAGTCCATAGGCTGATGCTCTATCCACTGAGCCAAACCGGTTTCGGCAACCTAATTTTTTGAAGTGTTAAAAATGGTTCTCATTTTATTTTATTTTTAAATGTTTTATTGATTTTGTATAGAGAAGGGAGAGAAATAGAAACATCAATGAGAGAGTAGAAACATCGATGAGTCATCGATCAGCTGCCTCTTGCACACCCCCTACTGGAGATATGCCCGCAACCAAGGTACATGCCCTTGACCAGAATCGAACCCGGGTCCCTTCAGTCCCCAAGCTGACACTCTATCCATTGAGCCAAACCGGTCTCGGCAAAATGGTTCTTATTTTAAAAGAGGGAAAATCACTTGGGTCTTGAATTGTCAATGACAAACATAAATTGTAAAGGCCTCCAGGGCAAAATTTGAATCCCAATGTTCTTTTAACGTTTTTCTCATGGCTAAAATGTCTGTTTGCATGTGAGTCCATATATATATATATATATATATATATATATATATATAATGTTGTAAATGTGACTTTACTACCTCCAAATGGTATTGTTAAAATTTAAAGGCAGCCCTATCTGGTTTGGCTCAATGGATAGAGCGTTGGCCTGCAGACTGAAGGGTCCCGGGTTCTATTCTGGTCAAGGGCACATGCCCAGGTTTCGGGCTCAATCCCCAGTAGGAATTGTGCAGGAGGCAGCCAGCCAGCCAGATTCTCT